TTGCACATCCATGTAGGTATTTTTGCAGGCACCTTTCCCAACGTCCCTTGTTAGAGAGAAGGGGTCAAGCCTGAAGCCTTGACGCAGGGCTCCCTGGGCGAAATGCAGCTCGAGGAGTGGATGCCTTAGCCGTCCATGCCATACATAAAACACCGCTGTACCTGGAGACTATTTGCCATATTGTATTGCTTTGAGTGTCCAAACCTTGACGTTTGATTGCAGTAGCTTTCATACATATTTCAGCTTTCAAAACACCGTCCTTACAGGGACACGCCTCTGGGCACGGCAGGGATGCGCTCCAAAAACACCTTGTTGGCGCTGTAGTCACTTTGAAGGCACGTCTGCTAGGGTAGCTGCTCGTCTGTCTGTATATAGACCTACCTTCAGGGGGTACACGGGTAGCAGAGGGTCCTCAACTAAGCCACATGCCCCAGATGGGTCCATAGACAGACGCGACGAGGTCCCGAGAGGGCAAGGCCGCCAACCCAGCTGTACCACTGTCAGCGCGACCGTGCTGATCTGTAGTTCGGAAGTCGATGCAGAGCAGCACTCCGACAAGTCATAAACAGCAAGACGGAATGACCTTTGAACGGTCACTTGCCGGAAATTTATATGTAAAGGGTAGTTTGAGTATGCCTAGCGTCACTATAGCAGCAGTCCAAGCCGCATTCTGGCGATTGCAACTCGTGAGGTCGTTGTGCGGAGCATCGATGACCTACACTTCCAGGTAGTGATCCTGCGAGTCCACGGTTGGGCTTCCAAGCTTTGGGGCTGGACCGGGTGGCAAAAAAAAAGGGACGTGTCAAATGGCAAGGGGATGTAACTCCCTAAGCCAAGACCTCGGTCCTGGCAGATTTGAGGCAACGACATTGCAGATGTGCTCTACCTGGACGATGGCAAAGTCGAGCCTGGAGTTCCCACAGACGAAATCGATGCTCGTTCATTACCACTGAACGCGCTTGATTCGTATGACCCACTTTACTATCAACACGCGTTTCTAATGACAGCTGCCGACTGCTGATACTATAGTGTTACTTCCTTTATTCCTTCTTGGAGCCGCTCCAAAAACCAACTACTTTCGCCAAATCGCAAACGAACACTCCAGCTCAAAGGTGGCCCACAGGCCAAAACTGCTGGGACGAACCATGCTAAGCGCAAGCCGTATCCAAGCTTTGTCATGAATGGGAAGCACTGGACTAGCATGCTTCCGCCCGTGAACATGATGTGAGGATAAGTCTTGCACGCGAAGCAGTTATAGGGTTGGCAGGATGGTCCCAGAAGTGAACTTCATACAACAAGGGTCTGCCATCCCTCCACTGCTCCTACAAGAACACCCATTACTAGGACTCACGTGGATATGTGGCCTGTGTTTTTTGCGTGGACATTTCTGACATGTCTCAAGGTTTTTCAGAAGTGCCGTACCTGCTAGTGACTGCTAGCCATAAAACAGAATTAAACAATTTTGGTTTCTTCTGAACTCCCTTCCGCCTGCCAAGTGTCTGAGGGTATCGTGGATGCTCTGATCAATTTACGTTATTTTGATGTGATGTTAATGTGGCTTGGGCATGCCTGCGTGGATGTCCTCGTAATTGGATTCTTCTGGTCATGGACAGTTTTATTATGGTTTGGGCATGGATGCACTAGTAACAAGAGGGGTTCTGGACGCTTTAAGGCCAAATTGAACAATCATCTGTTGTATCAGGACACGCACGACATCAGGCTGTTGGATCCTGGTCTTGTTGACCTTGCTGGCCCCAAACTGTAGCCCTGCCGTGTCACGAAATGCAACGCCAAAACCCAACTTCTTTGGGCTGAGGCGAAGCAGCCAACAACTACCAATCCAGTGATTTGTGTGACCTGCTACTGCTACGGCCACGGCTACTGCTACTAGTGCTACTACCACACATTGTTACCACTATTTCCGCTACCACTACTACTGCTACAACTACTACTTGCTGTTTCTAGCTGTTGCTACATTTTCTAAGTGCTCGTACTACTTGTGATGGTTTGGTTGCACCAAGTATAGTTCTAATCATCAGTGGCTTTCACCAGCATCATCGCGACCATACGTGTCAATGTAGCTTTGAGGCTAGCAAGTTTGTTTGCCGTCCTGCTTGACAGTCGTTCTTGCAAGCAGCTGGTCAAGGATTGGGAGTCTGCGGATGGAAGGCCCGAATGTGAACACGGCACCAATGTTTAGCCGCGCCGAGCAAAATGGGCAGGAGGCTCTCAGTTGATCATCCCTTCTTCGAGGCCTTGCGTTTCAAGCATCGCTGTAGAACCAGGATTGTCGGTATCACTGGGATCTGTCGTCACAGGCAGCCCTCCAAAAGCTGGTGCGGTACTCAGCGGCATGCACGTCTTATTGGCGGCTCCACAGCTGGCACAAGGGTCTGATTCCAGTAGGAAATCTGGTGCGATCCTGAACTCTGCATGTTTCAATGCTTTGGTTCAACTATCTTGGTCCCTACAGCGGATTAGCATGGCTTGCCAGCTTTGGCTTTGCCTCATGTAAGCTTCAAGATGTCAGTGTCGCAAGTATAGACCTTGAGGAAGTCTTTGTGATCATGGTACTCAGAATGAAAACTCCCCTTCTGTTCCGTTTGCAGGAAGAGATGGCGGCGGCTTCTGGGGCCTCGCGGAGCGGCATGTGCTGGGAGAATGGCCAAGCCCCAAGTGAGGAACCAAAACCGAATTTTTGTGTTTTCTGCACCACTAGGTCCTTCTGTACGGTTTTGCAGGGTACTTACTCATTCATACAGATCCGGGGTTCTTTTTCAACATTGGGGCGCCTTCAAAGTTGCAGCGCGTATGTACCGTGCCCACATCATAACAGTGTTGAGAAAAGCCCAGATTTGTGCACAAATTCAGGGTCCTTGATTTGGGATCGTCAGTATGTGGCGACAGCGACCATTGAGTGTCTAGTCCACCTGAAAATGATAGTGGACGCCCTCAGGGAAATCTACTTGGTTTTCGTACAAGATGAGATCATGCTCCTTTGAGGGGATGTCACCGTTTTGGGGGAGTTGCTCATATCTTTCTCGCCCCTGCTGCAGCTGAATTGGAAAGCAGTGAATTTTTGGCGGTCATATAAGCCAGGTCCTTGAATGTGTGCCCGAGAGTAATATGAATGTGGCCCTGCTGGGGTGCGGTAGCAATGAGAACTTAGAATCACAAAATAGCCTTTTTTGTGCTCATAAGCCGCAAGAAGTGGACTTCCTATGAGGCTCCAAGCTAGCAGCCCCACTAGAGTCAATCCGAGAAAGGGGTCTAGGAAGGGTTTGCAAGATAAGCTCCCCTCTGTGATGCTGAGTCAAGCCCGCTCATTAGGAATCATCCTCCTGAAGCAGTCCATGGCTGTCGCTACTTACCAGGCCGATTCAGGGAGGAGGATGGCGCTGTCGTCCTCTCCAGCTGCATCTCCGTCCTCACGCCTGAGGCCAGGGCAGGGCTTTCTGCAAACTGTGCGCGTTAGTCACGAAAGCTGCGCGGGCGGACGGCTGCCTTTCCGGGCGCGAGGGTTTTTGGTCTTGGGGGGTTTATTCTTGGACCTTGAGGGATGATGCTGGCTCCCAGCGGAGCGGGAAACTGGCCTTGGAGGGTCGCCTGCGTGGCTGATGGCGTTGTCACCTGCCGACTCTGCCTTCAAATCCCTTCAAGTTCAAGTGCTTCAGGATACCAGGACAGGCAAAAGGTTGTTACAACCAGTACCAACTTGCTGAAAGTCCGCATTAACTTGGCTCCCCCTTCCAAAGTCTGAAGATGAGATTGCCATGAAGAGGCGATTTTTCGCAGGTCAGGTTTTTTGTTGTTTATCAAAAAAGGCCGCGGATCTACTTCAAAGTTGAAAATAAGTCTTGTCAAGTATAAATATGTGTCCGATTCTGTGAAGTTTAGGTTGTCCGTTGGCTCTTGCCCAGGCGCTCAAGGATTGGGACTCGGACGCTGCGGTGCAAGCCTGCGGGACCGGCTTGCCTGGTTCCAAGTCGGGTCAACAACCTTCCCTGTAGTTTAGCACCGCAGGGGCTTATAAGTTTTTAGGGTTCGGGGTTCTTTGTTTACAGGATTTAAGGAGCCGGACTCAGTAGTTTCCATTTTCCTGGCCATGAATAGGGCCAGATCTTCAGGGACTGGTGTTAGAGTCAGTTCCAAGCAGCACCACATGGAACATGACAATGACAGCCGTCCCTGCGTTGTCGAAAAAGCTGCCTTGCATGGTTTTGGGGATTGCAAGCATCAGAATGAGAAGTCCACAGTGCAAGGCGCGGCGTCAGAAGCCTGCGGAAGAAGATGCAGGCATGCGTGGCAACTGAGGCTTCGTGGCAAGGCCCTGAAGGTACTAGGGGGCTGACGGGACATGACAACTCTGAAAAGACGTCAGAATGCTTCTGCTTGATGACGGGGCAAGGGCAGCGACTGCTGAGTTGCATGGCAGGCAGAAGAGCCCGAGGCTTTGGCTGCCATGTGACACAATCTGGCCACCCTTCTTGACCCGAGTAGTTGGGGAGGAGGCTTCAAAGCTCCTCCTGTAGCTCGCACTAGGCACACTCGGCGCATCACGCATTCGAGGCGCATTCGCATGCGCATTGGCCAAGTTTCAACGGAGCACGGGACGAGCCAAAGAAAAGGTATACGGTAGTTACCCGGTAGTACGGCTCTGTCTTGTTGTCCGGTTTTCCAGTTTTTGCGCCTTCAGCCGTTTTGGTGTCACTGCAAATTCACCCAGCTTTGCTCCAGAGGAGCCAATGATCCGGCCTTCAAAGGAGGCTGCATGCACCCCATCTAGCTTCCCAAGCAAATCTGCAACGGGACTGGCTTGCCCATGCTTGCCAATGTATAGGAAGGATCTGGGACAGGCCGCATTTGAAAATGGAGGGCTTAGCCGTTGTTTTTCAGTTTTTTGCTTTATCTTGTGTGTGTTGTTGCGCGTCGGCTTTCCTTTGCATGCCGCTCACCCGGGATAGACATCTAAGCATCAAGACCTGGAAGCATGAAGTCGCATGGGCCGAGGAGGGCCTCGCCACTACGAAGGCAAAGGACCTATTCGATGGCAGCTCCTCCATTTGACGTCCTTCCTCCTTGTCCACGCTGAGCAGTGTGAAACCTTCACGACCAGCGTGCCAGGCGCAACGATTGTGACCATTGATTGCGAGAAGTCTGTTGTCACCATCACATGCTTCCAGTCTGTATCCATCCCGGACTGCCACCGCGTGGAGGTCTACAAGACAACCACATCCACATCCATGTCCAAGACTTCGTCCAGAACCTCGAGGACGTCTTCGAGCTCCGTGACCTCTACCTCTTGGACTTCTTCAAGCACTTCGACAACAAGCTCTTCCAGCTTCACTTCTACATCGCTGACTCCTACATCGACCCATTCCATCTCAACCACATCGGCGGTTTCAACAACCACTTCTAGTAGCAGCGCAAGCGTCAGCACTACCACCTCTTCACGGTCGATCGCAACCTCCTGCACCACCACAAGCACAACTTTCACGTTCACAACTTTCACAACTTTCACAACATCAGGAGCGGGTAGGAGCAGCCGTACCACAAGCACAAGCAGAACTGGCAGTGCAACTTGGAGGGCTTTGACGTCCACCGCACCGGCATCTATCACTTCAAGCCTGACATCATCGCAGACCACCCTGACCACCCTCACCCCCACTGCAAGTGCCACGAGTGCGGTCTCTCCCGTCGGCCCTGTCGGCTCTGTCTCTGGATTCATGACGATCTTGGCAGACGGCGTGTCCCAGCTCCAGGCCAAGCTCGCCATCCCGGCAGCCTTACGTGCTTTCCTGCAGCTGGGCAACGAGGACACGGTGGTAGTGACTGTGGCAGTGCTGGCGCAGAGACTCCGCAGGCTTTCCCAGCGTCGCCTCGCCGAGGATGCCTGGAACGCATCCTTTTCCATTATCTTTCCACGCTCCCGAGAAGAAAAACTTCTTGGGCTGCTGAGGGATTTACTTGCGAGCATGGAAGCCAACAATGCTTTCGCATTCTCGGAAGCTTTGAGGATGCAGTTGCAGCTTGTGGGTGCGCAACCGTCAGGACGTCTTCCTATGATGCTGTGGGTCAATGGTTTGAGTTCTCTTTATGGAGGGCAGGTGGACGCAGGGCTCGTTTCGCTTGGCGTCGTCCTTTCGTTCATGGCGCTGGCTTTAGTGGGCTTGTTGCTCCTGTGGTGGCGGCAGAAGTTGTCATTGCCTCAGCTGTGCAGCTCAAGCTCCTCCCACGATGACCCAGCCCTCCATGATGTCTTAGCAAAGAGAACAGAACTGCGATGCCACCTGAGGCCCTGGATCTTTTCCGCTTTGAGGTCGGTTCTGCAGTCGCGTCGCGTACCTAGTTGATCCTACTTGCATGGTAGGACAGCATCAAGCTGTGCTATGAGTTGCAGTGCGAGTCAATGCCTCTCAGGTCTCCCAGAGGAGAGCATGCGCCAGGTTGCTGAGGAGTTGGGAACTTGCAGAGACATTTGGAAGCTGGAGTCGGAAAGATGGGCCCTTGCAGAGCGGGTGATCCGATCTCCGCAGTTCTCCTTGGCCTCTGGATGGAAGGGCGTCTGGCTGTGGGAGTCTGACGTGGGCAGGGACCTGCGACTGTACAGCTTGAGCTTTGGTGCCGGAGGACAGTTCTGGGGCGCCGGCCAAAGTGGCCGGGGCAATTTCACCGTGAACGGTGGAGCACTGGATGCAGCGGAAGGCATGCTGAAATGGCGAGAGAAAGGCCGGGATTTCATCGTTGAGTGTGCTGGCCACTGGGATCTCCAGGAGCTCAAGCAGCCAACACGTATCGAGGGTGTCTTCTCTGCTTACAGTGTCGCGGCCCTGCCAAAGCGCATAGGTCAGGGTCGTTTCACCCTCACAGCTGACACCCAAGGTGTCAGAGCTTTCCAGGACCGGCCGGCAGCCCCCAAGGCTGTTGACTCAGATTTGGTGTAAAATCGGTCCTTCGATTCTCTGTAAAGCTGCTCCTGCTGCAGCTCTGCCAAAGAGAGCCGGCGGAACAAGCCACAAGTAGCATACAGCTTCCGCCCGATCGCGAGCAGAAGGAGAAGCCCCTTGGATTTGACTTGCCGGTCAGAAGGTCCAGATTCAGCAGCGCTACCATTTTCTCGCCCTTGCTGGCTCTCAGTTGTGGCATTTGCCCTGAGATACAATGTGATTGTTGGCAACTGCCGCAGTACTCCCCCAGCTAGCAAAACATTCCACAGCCGACTGCAGAACACATTCCCACTCTTCTTCGGATGTCGAGTGGTGAGCCTGCGCTCTGCAGCGCGGCAGCGTCTGGTGACCTGGCACGATGCGCCGAGCTGTTGCGAGATGATCTGAATGCGGCTTGGCACAGATCGAGGGTCACAGGCAGCCAAGATTTCTTGTGACATTCTAGGTAAATGCATCTGACGTCTTCAAGCGAACTCCGCTGATCAATGCCGTGGTCTCTGGCCACGCTCCTTGCCATCAAAATCAACAGTCCTTCCGCATGGGAGCTGCGCATGCTGCAGCCTAATCCAGTTGCGCAGAGGCGAAGGTGGTGGAGATCTTGGCTGCCGCGCGCGCTGATCTCCCCTGTGCGGACCGTAGTGGTTGGACGGCGTCTCTTGGAGGCAGCCAGGCCGACCGCGTGAGAAAAAAAAAGCAGCATGGTGTGAAATGGGTCGCATGCGGCTCCCGTGCCTGCACGCTTGCAGAGGTTACACTGGGCAGCCTTTCAGGGCAACGGCGACATGGTCCAATTGTGCCTGTCTTTGGGCGCAGACCCTAAAATCAAGGCCCGACTCCAGAGTTGCCCAGCTGAGAGTCTCACTGCCCACTCTCTGAGCTTGACAACTTGAGGACCTCCGGGGCAGCACGCCCCGACAGGCTGGGCAGCTGGGCTTGGTCCGAAGGCTTACGAGGTTATGAGGGTTTGGGCACAGTCCTGTGGCCAGGTTGTGGAGCACGTGCTGGAGGGCAAGAGTGAAGCAAAGTTTGGCGAGGGCCTGCAGGGTGACCGAGGCGCATTGCACAACATCCAAACACCTCTCCTCGGACATCTCCATTTGCGAGTGTTGGACAGTTGACGATTGGGCTGGCAAATTGGGCAATTTTGAAGGCCACGAAGCAATCCTGGACTTGCTCCGTGCTTGTGAGGACAGGTGAGGGGTAGTCGGAATGAGGGTGAGAGGCGCCCCAAAGAAGAACGCTTCGCTCCACACATTTAAAGCAATTTATAGCCTGCTTTTTGCTTTAGTTTCTCGAGAAACCCTGCTGCGGATGGCCCAAAGGTGGCACCAAAAAAACACACCCCAAAGACTGATCCCGTACTGTGCCTGAGTGAAGAGATCCGCCCAGGGGTCCTATTGCATTGTTGTGCGATTTTGTGTTGTAATCTAGTCAAGTCGTGCGGTATACCATGTCAGGTTAGATAATGTGTGCTTCATATGCTGATGCAGTCTTGCATAGGCACATTTATGCTGGCTTGAATCAACGGATTGCAGGACGAACCTTGCAAGTATGTAGTCCGTCCATGAGCCTAAGGGGCTAGGGCATGATAGGGCTTAACGAAGTCATTCTTCATGTAGTCACCGCGACTTGCTCGCCATTGCAGCTGTTTCCGGCCCGATGTGCTACCCTTAAGGGGTAGCCTGCAGGGTTGGACCCCGGCGCAAGGGTTGGCAATGTTGTAAGCAGCACTGTACACCTACAGCTTGCGGCAATTCTTCCTGCAAATGCTTATGCAACGGCTACTACGATGACGGGCCACGCATGATAGTCTACGTCTGCTCCTGCTACTGCTGCCACCACCACCATCACCACCACGACCA